CTAGTTCACACACCCACATGAGGACACGTACATAATTTAAAATAAAATAAATCTTTAAAAAACTTTCCTCTAAGCTAGAAACTTGACTAGTTTCACCTCTTCTGTTAGTTTCTCATTAAAATTTTTATTAATTCTTTGAGAATTTCATACAGCATATTTTTATCATATTGACCCCATCTCCTCCCAGATCTATACCTACGTTCTTGCTCCCTAACCTCCAACTTTGTGACCTCTCATTTAAAAAAAAATTTTTTTAAACTTTTGTACCTTTCATACAACAATTCTTAATCAAATTTAGAATTTAGACCCCCTCCCCCCGGCCAGACCTCATGTATTCTACCATACATGTTAAATCCTATCTAGTCAGGCATTTGTACCCAGATGTCCTTTGGTGCAGATTCATCCACTGGAGTCTAGTCAGTCTATCTAGAGATTGTAAGAGTTTACTCCCTCACCCAGTAATAATCAGTCTTCAACAGTTCCCAGACTAGGGCCGGTCCACTGCCCATTTCCCTTGCTCCACTCTGGGTCCTTGTCTGATTGAGTTGGCTCAAAGCCACCATTGCTGCAAGTTCACATGTGCAAGCTTTCGGTGGCCTGAAAACCTCTGCTTCCCTGTGCTCATGAACTAGCCCTGGCTCTTACAATCTTCTGCAATGGTTCCTGAGCCATTGGTGGGTGAGGTTTAGTATAGGAGTCCTATCCAGGAACACACACTCTGCAGTCTCTTATTCTCTAAAACTTGGCCAGTTGTGGCTTTCTGTGTGCATTGCCCTCTGTTGTATAACGAAGTTTCACTGGTGAGAGTTGAGGGATACACTAGATTTCTCTCTACCCCGTTCTGCCATGTTCCATCAGCCTTAGGTGTAGAGGTTCCACTGTAGATATGTCACCTAGGACTGGGCATGTCTCGCACATATAGTCTCTGTGTGTGACCAGCTGTGAAACTCGGCAGTAGCCTCCATCTGTTGCAAACAGAAGCTTCTTTGATGAGTGGTGTATGGTATACTTGTCTGTACATATAAGGATCCATATTTAACATATGGTAAGAAATTTCATTTGTCTAGAGATATGATAGAGATACCTGGGGAAGACAGAGGGAAATGTGTTGGCTCCGGAACCCCCTGAGAAATTCACATATGGTGTCTGAACATTAGTGGATATGTATAACTGGGGGTTGTATGGCAAGGAACACAGTGCCAGACAGGCAAGACCTCCCTTCAAGTGGTTGGTCAGAGTAATCCAAGAGACTCCAAAAATAATGCAGGCTACTGCCAGAGCTCTTGGTTATCTCCCAGAACTTGAAGATAAGACCATATTGCTGAAGACAGGACGTACTTCGGACACAGGACTTGGAGCAATGGAGCAGGAACTGACCCGGAAGCCTTCTACCTGACGTTTAGCTCTCATAGTTCTAGAGGATACTATGCAAGCTGCCAAGGGAGAAAATCAATCAGTGGTCCAACTCAGCTGTAAAGCCTAATTAACCACAATGACTGGCACAGCCAACTACCTCTATTGGTGCCGTAGTGGCACTGTTATCTGGCAGGGGGCGGGGTGGTGGTAATCGACAGCTATGTAATTGGACTTAAAGCCCTCTCAATGGGAGTAAACTCATGGGTGGCATTGTAAACACAGCCAAATACATATCACTGGAGAGGTCATAGATCCTGAAGAAAACCCTATCTCTGCAATCTCTCTTTTTTTAATCCCATTAATTCCAATTTGTTCTGCTCATATACTCCTGGGTTAGAGTCATGAACTGAATGTGGTCAGCTTACCAAGAGCCACATCCTAAAACATGACTCCCCTCCCCTAGAAACTGTCAACTGTCCATAGCTCCTCAGTTAGGGGTAAGAGCTCATGAGCCCCTGCCCACTCCACACTGGAATGTTGGCTGGCTTGACCTTGTGGAGGTCTTGACCAGGCAACCACAGCTGCTGTGAGTTCATGAGTGCAGTGGTCCCGTCATGTCCAGAAGACACTGTTTCACTCCAGTCCTCCCCAAACTGGCTCTTACAATCTTTCTTCCCTCTCCTCTGCAATGGTCTCCTAGGGAAGGGATATAATACAAATGTCCTGTTTGTAGCTGTACACTCCGCTGACGCTTATTTTCTGTACTTTGACACAGCTTCTCATTTGTAATATGATATTTAAAATTTATTCTTTGAAAATTTTGTATGTGCATACCAGATATTTCCATATTATTCACCCCCAACTCTCTTCTGCAACTCCTCCTGATCCTCTCACCTCAGTACCCCTCCCAACCACATCTTCTTTCTTAAAACAAAAACAAAAACAAAAACATTAATTCCAATTAGTGATACTCATATACACATGGGCGTGGGGCCATCTACCAGAGCATGGTCAATCTATCAGGGACTACACCCCTAAGGCTTCTCATTTTTTATTTAATTTTAAAATGTATTTATTGTTATTTTATGTGTATGTGTTTTGTCTACATGCCTGTAAGCACACCATCTCTGTTCAATGCCCACAGAGGCCAGAAGGTGTTGGATCCCCTGGAACTAGACTTACAGACAGTTGTGAGCTGCCATGTGGATTCTGGGAACCAAACCTGGGTCCTCTGCAAGAGCAGCCAGTGCTCTTAACCTCTGAGCCATCTCTCCAGCCCCAGCTTCTCATTTTAAGTGGGGCAGTCCTTAACTCATTGGTCATTGTGAAGTACAAATGAGATTACCCATGACAAATGCTTAGTCAAAGCCTAGTGACACAGCAGCCACTAGATAAATATTAGAGAATGGCATTATGATGACTTACCAATGCTCCAGAGAACAAGGCTGCCCACAGGAGTCATAGCACTTAGGCCTTGTGTCTGGGTACTCTCATCATGGTCAGAGCTTACACAATATGAAAATAACCACTTTCTCACCCTACCACAGGATCCAGCGCTATCTTGCCCTCTGCTGGATGGTGTGAGGCAGGTGACTTCACCAATGAGGCTGCTGATGGACACATCAGTTCTGCGAGGCTTTTCTCAACACCTAAAGTATCACGAAGTGGATACTTTGTCCCCAGTTCAGGCACTTTAGGGGCTTAAGGCATAGTTTGACATCTGGGCATCTCTTAATATTTATGGACTTTCTAGGCTACTGCTGGAGCCAAGCCCTTTGATAGCCTGGGTTACTCTCTAATCTACATTTCATGTGGATAATCAGCAGAACTGAGTGTAGAGCCGCAACACCTAAAGTATCACGAGGTGGATACTTTGTCCCCAGTTCAGGCACTTTAGGGGCTTAAGGCGTAGTTTGACATCTGGGCATCTCTTAATATTTATGGACTTTCTAGGCTACTGCTGGAGCCAAGCCCTTTGATAGCCTGGGTTACTCTCTAATCTACATTTCATGTGGATAATCAGCAGAACTGAGTGTAGAGCCCAACAAAAGGCTAACCAGTGTGTCTTATGACTTCACCACCCTGTGGCCCCAATGTTGCTAAGAGGGCTCTCTTCATACAATGGGCTCACTGTAGATGTATACTTTTTGTGAGTGTATATACATTTGCATGTGTGTGTAGGGGGGTGTACATGTTCATGTGTATAAGTATCTTCAATTGTGCTCCATCTAATATATTGAGGCAGAGTCCTTCACTTGAACCCAGAACTCACCGATTTGTCAAGTCTAGCTAGCCAGCTTGCTCCGGTATTCCCTGTGTGTTGGTTATTTTTCTGTTGCTGTGATAAAACCATAAACAAAAGCAACTTGGGTGAGTGAAAGTGTTATTTCAACTTACACTTCCGGGTCATAGTCCATTACTGAGGGAAGTTAGGGCAGAACTCTAGAGGTGGAGAACAGGAAGGAACACCACTTACTGGCTCATGCTCAGCTAGCTTTCTTATATAGCCCAGCACTACCTGCCTAGGGATGGCGTCACCCACAATGGGCTAGGCCCTCCTACATCAATCATGAAACAAGACCATTCCTCATAGACATGGCCACAGGCCAGTCTCATCAAGGCACTTCTTCAGTTGAACTTCCCTCTTCCTAGGTCACTCAGGTGTGTCAGGTTGACACAGGGTATGACACTATCATACCCTGTGTCTGCCTCTTGTGCACTGGGGTTATAGGGGGGCTGCCATGCCCGCTCAGTATTTACATCGGTGCTGGGGATCAAACTCAGATCCTCATGGTTGTATAGCAAGAACTTTCCCAGCTGAGCCACTTTCCCAACTTCCTGTTGCAGAGATTTTAAACAGAGTCAAGGAACTGTCCTTATTGGTTCTAGTAAATGGTGGGCCAGAATCAGTTCAGACTGGCTCTTGAGCATTTTAGTATGATCATTTCTTCCCAACTCCTCATCCAGTGACCCCCATGCCTGTTGCTTGGAATCAGTCATGATGGGAATGCTGACATCACAGAAATCAGTGACTGCTAAAACAAGCCTTTTCCTTCCCAAGAGCCAATTGCTAAATGCCTCAGCTGATAAACCACTGGCACCAGGCTTTAGTTCCACACAATGCCACATTAAACCATTCCTCACAGCAAACAAGAGGGCCATACTAGCCTGCTGTCTCAATGAAATGCAAACTGAGAGTTTCGTTTATCTATTTATTTGTTAAACATGTAAGAGATTGTAGCTTATGAAAGACAAGGTGCTAACTAGCATGGCAGGATCATGCTTTTAAGTTTGAGATATCTACCCAAATATTTAATTCTGGTAAAAATATCTTCAATAAGCTATTTATTGGTATATTTTGACTTCTTACTTAGCATGCAAAAAAAGTCACACATGACAAACCACATACTTAAACAAAGGTGTTAGGGAATGTACCAAGAAACATACAGGAATGCAATTTAAAATTGTAATGTGATCTTTGTGTCTTGTTCTTTTAGCTTTACATAATTTAAACTGTCTTTCATGCCTACCATTGCTGTGAAAGTCCTTTGCAGGCCTACCCATTGTCTTCTTTATTAAATTAGTCCCAGTGGTTGGTAGGCAGCCTTGCCATACATCTCTACAGAAATCATTTTAAAATGAATACCAATGTGTCATTTCTTTTAGCCAGGAAAAAAAATCAACTGGCTAGTTTAGTTGAGTCCACTTGCTTGTTTGTACACCGAGCTACAGACAACTCAGAGCTTAGAGTCTGTGAGGTAGGGGAGGAGGTGAGGGGCTCAGTCATAATGAACCTTGACTTTAGCTACCTCAGAGCTAGACAAATCTCCATTGCAAAATGTCGGGAGTGATGAACTTAACTGGTCTTTCAACTTCAACTTGATCATCTCCATGTGTTTGCGATAGGCCCTCTGAATAATCGCAGCACACAGCTCCTCTTCCTTCCTCTTCGTGGTGGTGACTATGGGTTCGTACAACTTCTTGAAGGGATTGGCTTCCATGAACTTCTCCTCCATCATCGCTTTCATGGTATCCAGGCCACTGGAGTTACCAAGTACCCTAGTGGTAAAGGCAAAGAGGACATCCATGCAGTGGAGGCGGTCATCAATCACCATGGGCAAGTCCATTACTAGAAATTGGAACTTGTTGGGTTTTGCCACACGCAAAGGCTCAGGCAGGGCATCAGCAAAATCAGAAAGGGAAGAATATTTGATAAACTGTGTTGCTTCAGGGTCAAACTTTTCCCAGATTTCGTAGAATATATCAAAGTCATCTTCACCCAAAGGGTCCTCGCTTTCTTCCGTGGCGGTATTGAAGTTCTCTAAGATCACAGCAATGTACATATTGACCACGATGAGAAAAGAGATGATGATGTAGCTAACGAAGTAAACTATGGCTATACTCGGCCGCTGACAGCTGTCTGAGCTAGGGGAGGTGTTCGACTCCAGCATGGGCTTGAGGAGAGCATCCCAGCCAGCTGAAGTGGTTATCTGGAAGAGACAGAGCATGCTGCCGGAAAAAGTCTGGAAGTTAAAGATGTCATCGATTCCAGAAACTTGATCAACCTTTTTGGAAAAACAGCTCATCCCAAAGATGGCATAAATGAACATAACCAGAAAGAGAAGCAGACCAATATTGAATAGAGAGGGAAGGGACATCATCAGAGCAAAGAGGAGGGTCCTGATGCCTCGTGCTGCTCGAACAAGTCTGAGGATTCGGCCAATCCGGGCCAAGCGGATGATTCTGAAGAGAGTTGGTGGGAAAGGAATTTCGCTTTTCTCCAACACAGAAACCATGGTACCTAGAGAAGGAGGATCAGTGAATTGCTAGCAGGCACGCTGCTTTTAAATCCAGCCTGTCTACCAGCTCAGAATCCTAATGGGACCAATGTTTTGTCACTTTGTTGTTTATATGCAAAGCTAAGAAATATCTGTATCTTAGTTTGAAACATAACTTTGAATGGCCATACAGTTTCAGACAGGACTTTTAAAATTTATTTATTATTTTTATGTGTATGAGTGTTATGTCTGCATGTAGGTGAGTGCGCCCGTGTCGTGCAATGCCCGCGGAGGTCAGAAGAGGCTGTTGGATCCCCTGGGACTGGAGTTACAGACAGTTGTTAGCTGCCATGTGGGTGCTAGGATTTGAACCAGGGTCTTTTGCAAGAACAACCAGTGTTCTTAACCACTGAGCCATCTTTCCAGCCCTCAGACAGGACTTTTAATGGTAGATGGAATACATGAGCTACTGAAGATAACTAAAAGATTGCAGTTTAAGAAGCGCTATTATTTATGCTACATTATTTTAGCCACTAGTGGGGTAACACCTACCGTAGTTTACCCTATTTACTGAATGCAGAAGATGGAAAATAGGCAAAGTACACTTTGATTCTTTTGGGGTGCAAGGAGAAATTCCTACTACTGGAGTTTGATTTAAGCTTTGATTGAACTGTCAGGGGAAAATGATGAATCCAGAACACCTAAGTTCCTTAAAAGATACAGATGTCGATTCATCTAGAGGGATTTGAATGCAGGTGAGAGCAAACTGTCTGCTGTGTGTAGGACTGGAGGGAGGTAGTGGCTCCAGGATACTCATCTTTGGTCCAAAGCTCCCTGTCCATCTCTCACAATTAATGTTCTTCTTCCAAGGGCCACTGAGGTCTCCAGCTTCACAAAGCTTAAAGCATGAAGCACAGCGATACGTTCTCTGTTAGAGACACCCCAGAACTGGTATCTCAAACACAGCTTTGTGCAAACTGATGAATATTTGGGTCTAAAATGTCACCTGTTCTCCCATTGCCTGCTCAGGAGGCAAGAGATACAAGGAATTAAAGAATTTGCATTTTGGCCCAAATATTGTAGAATGGCTGGAACATGCTTGTCTTGTGTAGACATGGTCTTCTCCTTGTTCTGAGGGTCCTCTGAGGTCATTAGGGATCCTGAGCAGTGAAAATTGTTCCGCCAATCTCCTAATGACTAAAGAGAACTAAGTTGATATACCTCACTATCTAATTTAAACAATTCATATAATAATAGTTGGGCAGAAAATCCTAGCAAAGTTATTTATTAACTACCGATTCAGCAGCACAAGTCCTTTAAGGCCCATCCTTCCGTAGAGGCTTCTTTGCCTAATCAGACCTACAGGAATCAGTCCTTTTTCTGAGCTCAGGTTCTTTGTGAACCATGTGCTGTAGTGTTTGATGAATTTTCTTGTATCTTTTCCTGACACTGTAAGATGAGTACAGCTTACTCACCAGCTGGATTGCTAACTCCAGACAGAGATTCTCTTCTATGCACACTCCATTACTGTAAAAGCTGAGGAAGGAGCTTGGGGAAGTGTGGAGCCAAGTATTGAATGGTAGATGTGCTGGCAAAGGCACATAAAATTCTGCCCACACTGGTAAGTAGACTCTGGCTTAGTGTGAAGATTTAGTCCTCCACTGGAGCATGTGCAACTAGGTGCTGTTGAAAGGATTCCAGAGACATTTCTAAAAGCTGCACAGTGCTCAGCACTGCCTACAAGGAATGATGGGATGACGAGAACTCTCAGAGGGGCAGGCCCAGACCCATCCTGCTACCATTTACTAACTTTTATTGATGTCAGTTTCACCAGAACTTGTGATTGGAACTGATTAGTAACAATCATAGGTCTGTCTATTTTACTTTGAATACACGGGTCTGTTGTTAAACTTCATCTGCATAAACCTCATGTCTTAGAACCCAGAGCAGACTATTAGCTGCATCATCTTTTGCTCTTTGACATTATCTGCATTGCTTGGTAGCACCAGAAACCAAAATTCTCTGATCTTACATATCTGTTTGTTGCACTCGTTCTGATATGGCACAAAAGCATCCATTTGTGAAATCAGTCTTCCTTGTTTCAACTTTGAGGGCTTTTGGACCCGCCTACATAACTTAAAAAGTCAAATTGGAGGCAATGGCTTATGCCTATAATCCAGCACTTGGGAGGTGGAGTTAGGAGGATTAGTTTGGGGGCAGTCTAGGCTATACAGTAAGTTTCAGGTCAACCTGGTCTACAGAGTGAGACTCTATCTCAACATCCCTTCTCAAAAAAAAAAAAAAAGAAAAGACCAGGCATGGTGGTGCACACCATTAATCTCAGCACTCAGGAGGCAGAGGTAGGCATATCTCTGTGAGTTTGAGGCCAGCCTGGTCTACATAGTGAGTTCCAGGCTAGCGGGGGCTACAGGGAGATCCTGTCTCAAAATAAAGTAAAACAAGGTAAAATGAAAAGAAAGAGTCAAATTAATGAATTAGTTAAAAATCATACTTCAAAGAACCAGAATAAACTCTAATGAGTTAGTCATGAAGAATTTAATTTCAAAGGTGTGTGTGCGTGTTTGTGTGTCTGTATTTGTGTGTCTATGTACCTGTGTCTGTCTTGTCTGTGTCTACGTGCATGTCTGTGTCTGTGTTTTTGTTTTGGTAAAAGGCATATGGCAGAGTTAAGGGTACAGCACAGTGGTACAGTATATGTTTAGCATGCAGAAGGCCTGAGGTTTGATCTCCATTACTAAAAAAATAAGACAGAAAAGAAGAGAGTGGATAAAGAGCCTCCTCCTCCTTCTCCTTCCTCATTCCTCCTCCTTCTCCTCCTCCTCCTCCTCCTTCTCCTCCTCCTCCTCCTCCTCTTCCTCCTCCATAAACCTTATGGTCTATGTAGCATGTCTATGGTTACCAAAACTACACAGATTACAGAAAAAGGCTGGGTAGTAAATGGAGTCAAGGAGCTGCAACAAGTGCCAAGCATACCATGGTTCAAGTAAACATGGGATTCAGGATAAAAAGAGAGCTTGCTTTTCTGTGTCAGGCAGTCTTCGAAGCTTGGGCAGGAGATGAGGGAACTCCAGCAATGCCATGTGGCCCAATAACTGTGCTGGTACCCATGTGGATTTTGACAGAGATCCTAACATCGGCACTGACTGCCACGAACTGCCCATTAGGGCTTGTGGCTGCATGGGAAAGGTAGAATTTTAATTCAGTTACCTGAACAAATCAAGTAGCACTAAAAAGAAAAAATATAAATAATCTTAACTTTGTTTCTCTTCATTGAAGAATCAGATTTCCACTAGTGTAGACACTCAAAGGAATAGAAGCTACTGTCTTCTAGCAGCTTCCCAGTAGGAATGTGTATACATTTCTGTGTAATTTTCACAGAACCCACATTTAACCTAATCTGTCACTGTGTGGAGAGGCTGGTCATACTTCCAAACGATAATCTTTAATGCGTTTCCTTCTGCCTCTCGTTGTCAAGTCCTTGTAGCTGCCAGTTTTACTTACTAATGATGGAAAGGACCACGACCACACAATCAAATAAATTCCAGCCATTGGTGAAGTAGTACTGCCTCAAAGCAAAGATTTTGATGAGACACTCTAGTGTAAAGATGACCACAAAGGCTATGTTGAGATAATCAAAGATTTTTTTCTCTTCGTCAGGCTGGCCATTATATTCAGCCATCATGATGATCATGTTTAGGATAATGAGACCCATGATGAAGATGTCAAACACCTGATTCGTGACCAGGTCGAATACAAGGCCTTGACATTTGTTCTGAGGAGGAAAAAGAAAGAAGAAATTACTGGTCATTAAAATGACACTTCTTCATAACAGGATTTGTTCTTTCTTACAATGAAGGCAGTTCCTTGAAATATACTCAGACATTTTTCAAAGGGCAAGAAATCTTGTGAACCCCAGTGTTGCTTTACTTTAAGTATGATTAGGTAATTGTCTTCAAGTGCTTGGAGTTGCTTTTTTTTTTTTTTTTTTTTTTTTTTTTTTTTTTTTTGGTTTTTTTTTTTTTTTGGTTTTTGGTTTTTTTTTTTTTTTTAAAAAGGGTTGAACTCAGAGACATCCGCCTGCCTCTGCCTCCCGAGTGCTGGGACTAAAGGCATGCACCACCACGCCCAGCTGGGATTGCATTTTTAATTCCACTTTAAAGCAAAAAAATATAGATTTAAAAATTCTTAGAGCATAACTTTGATGTGATGGGTGGTGCTGTGAGGCGGAAGTAAAGCAGTTCATGTGGCTTTAACAATGGAGATAGTAAAACTGATCGTTTCATAGGATGATGGAGGGCGGAGTTGCATGTCGGTTTCTATAGAGATGGCCAGACTTCCTCTGAGGCAACGGAGTATCAATTAATTGCTCTGCTCCAGGTTTGACTCTACTGTGCATGTCTGAACCATCCAGTCAACTTCCTGTTTTTGTATAGCCCATGCTCAGAGTGAGTTTGATATGCTTAAATATTTGAAATGGAAAAAAAAAACAAAAACAAAAAACAAAAGAGGGCCAGGCATGGAGGTGCACGCCTTTAATCCCAGCACCTGGGAGGCAGAGACAGGTGGATCTCTGTGAGATAAAGACCAGCCTGCTCTACATAGTGAGTTCCAGGACAGCTACAGGGAGACCCTGTCTCATAAAGACCCGCCTCCTGCAAAAAAACCAAAAAACCAAACAAAAACAAACAGCAAAAAAACCACAAATTTTTTGTGACACAAAATTATGCAAAATTCAAATTTCTCTGACCATAAATAAAGTTGTGCTGGAAGGCAGCCATGTCCATGTGTTCTCTGTAGCCTCTGGCTGCTCTGTGCCTCAGTAGAGAGGGCAGGAATACTGGTAGAGGTTACAGGCCCAGAAAAGCCTACAGTGTTCATCTCCTGGCCCACTACAGAAAATGTTTGCCAAGCCCCAGTGCACGATGCTTATTATAAAGACATGAAGTGGAAGTGGGTACACACAGCCTCAACCTTCTATCAACCTCACATACACTGGTGAAGTGAACGACAAGTACACTTTAAACTTCTGAAGGTCAAATCCAAGCCAACTGCTTCATTTGTGTCATTGCGATGTAAATACAATACTCACCTCTATGTATTCTTTAAAAATTAGATTTACTGCTGGGTGTGATAGCACACACCTTTAATCCCAGCACTCAGGAGGCAGAGGCAGGCAGGTCTCTGTGAGTTTGAGGTTAGCCTGGTCTACATAGTGAGACTCTTTCAAAATAATTATTAAATTTACTGGCCAGGCTCTTAATAATGAATATGCATATCTAATTTCCTAAGGATTTGAGTATGTATGGTTTTGTTGAGTTCTAAGATGATGCATGTAAATTTAAAAATTACAGGATGGCTTTTTCTAGAACCCTGTGTTCCTCACAATTTCTTATCCCATGTATGTGTTTCATGTCGTTCAGTTGCTCTCACCAGAGGCCTTGGGATGGGTTTTTGAGGTTTTTTGGTTCCTAATTTTTTCATTGCATTATAGTATTTCTTCTGTTCTTCTGTCATAAAAATGTCCTGGCCACCTAAGTACATGGAGAAAATGAGAGCTCACTTAGCCATCTTTGCAAATCAAGTCTTGAATTTTTAGAAAGAAAGTTACATGACTCTTTTATCAATAGTTCCTAAAATTCCCAAAGGAAGCAACCAAAGTTGGGTTCAGAGGGGGCTGAAAGAAAATAGCCTTTAAGTTAAGGAAAAAATAGAACTAAGGTTACTTTTGTCAGTTACATACCACTTAAAAATTACTTTCATTTTATGTGTATGAGTGTTTTGCCTACATATATGTAAGCATACCATGTGTGTACAAAAAACATGGAGGCCAGAGAAGGGCATCAGACCCCATGGAATTGGGGTTACAGCTGATTGTTAGGTAAGTGCTGGGAGGTGAATTCATGTCATCTGGAAAAGCAGTAAGTGCTCTTAACTGCTAAGCCATCTCTCCAGCTCTGTATCCCACTTTGTATAACATAAAGATTTCAAATTTTTATGAGCATCCTCCAGACTCGTTATAAAAACTTGATATAGCTGGGTGTGGTGGTGCATGCCTTTGATCCCAGCACTCCAGAGGCAGAGGTAGGTGAATCTCTGAGTTCAAGACCAGCCTGTTCTACATAGTGAGTTCTAGGCCAGTTGGGGATATAGGGAGGGGAGACCCTATCTCGAAAAGACAAAAAAAAAAAAAGCAAAACCAAGCAAACAAAAAAACTGGATATATTTCAGTTGCACAAAACTGTAATGCACCTGTAAGAGAAATTAGCAAAAAAAAAATTTAATCCCATAGAAGAGGAAGGGAACCAGTGGGATAAAAGACAGTAAGGGAAGAGGGCAGGTGTGGTTAAAGTACATTATTTATATATACATGCAAAAATGTAACAATGACATCTATTAATCTGTACAATTAATATGCACTAATAAATAGCACTGAAATTCTCTTAAATAACTAATGTAACATTACGGATAAAAGTTATATAAAATCTGCCCAGAACCATTCTTAGGAAAAACATACAGAGTTTTAAATATTTTCTCTACTAGTAAGAAAAACAAGTTAGGATTTTCATTTCAGGAAATTCATGGGACAAAAATACCTAAAAAGGTCAGATAAAATAGAACAGATCCTTTGGAAATCTCTAACTGAATTTTTACAGAAATCTGAAAGAAAAGTTTCTAGGCTCTGAAAGTTAAGATATAAGAAAGAGAATGGTAAGTTAGTCCCAAAGCCACTACTGGGGGCTGGAGAGATGGCTCTGGGGTTAAGAGCACATACTGCTCTTACATAGGTCCCAAGTTTGGTTCCTAGCACCCACACAGCTGGCTCACAACCACCTGTAACTCCAGCCCCAGGGGATCTGACACCCTCTTCTGGTTACTGTGGGCCCTGCACTTGCGTACACACATGCACGCATGCATACAAATAAAAGTAAAATAAAACCTTTTTAAAAAGAAAGAAAAGTGTCCTTTGACAACAAAAGCCAACAAGAATTGTCCCTCAATTCACACTAGCAGTAAAAGCCTACTCTTCCCTGGTTATTTGACTGAAGGCCTGTATTGAGGGACTGGGGTTTGAATTTACTAGTGTGGGCCAAGCATACACAGCCCCTGAAGCTAACCTAGAAGATAGCTAGGTTGGTTTCAGATGATGGCAGAAATAAATTGTATTTGTTATAATTATATTAATGTTATTATCTTGAGACTGTAGAGCATGTGTTTGTGATAAAGATAAGTGTGGAAATTTAAAAGATTTATTTATTTATTTGAAATTGTGAGTATAAATCTGTATCTGAGTGTGGGTTTGTGCACATGAGTACAGTACCTGCAGAGGCCAGAAGAGGGCATTGGGTCCTCTGGCTCTAGAGTTACAGGAAGCTGTGAGCAAGCCACTGTGAGTGCTGGGAACTGAGCTCAGGTCCTCTATCAGCAGTACTCTTAACCACTGAGTCATCTTCCCAGCCTCCTAATTATGGAAATTTTAATTTGTCATCATCTCCTGTACTCTTGAAAACCAAGAGGAGAGACAGATGTATCAGGAGAGGAAGTGAATCATAAGCTTTCTCACAGGCCTGAGCCTAAAATTACTCTCTTAGAGAAAGATCTAGAAACAATGCAATACCATAATGTGGTTTTGGAAACTGTACTTTAGTTAAATGGCTGATTGCAGATGTAGGGAAGGAGGGTTCAACTCAAACCTTGAACTTCCTGTCACTTCAGAAAGCAAAGATACTGTCAAATGGGAACAACTTATTTTATTTGAATCCTGATTTGGATCCAAAACTTTGCTTGAGATAAACAAATAAAAATGAAATTAATGAATAAATCTTCAAGGAAAATTTAAGACATCTATAAGTGCTTACGTTAAAAAAAATCGGAGCAAACTCAGGAACGTTTAATGATGGGAGCTGGGATGGCTCTGCAGTTAAGAACAGTTGTTACTTTTGCAGGGTACCCAGGTTTGGGTCCCAGTACCCACAGGGTGCCTCACAATCATCCAGGGGATCTGGTGCTCTCTTCTGGCCTCTGCAGGCACCATATTCATGTGGTGTACATATATACATGCAAATGCTTGTACATATAAATAAATGTTTTTGTTAATGGTAATGTTTTTTAAAAAAAGACTTTAATGATGAACCTACCTAAAGGTCTTAGAAAAACAAGAACAAGGTGAACCCCCAAATGAATAGATGGAAAGAAATAAAATGGATCAAGGCAGAAATTAACAAAATGGAGAGTAAAAGAATAGGACAAATAATAAAATAAAGACTTGGTTCTCTGAAAAGATAAACAAGGGGGGCTGGAGAGGTGGCTCAGCAGTTAAGAACACTGGTTGTTCTGGCAGAAGACCTCGGTTCAAGTCCCAGCACCCATGTGGCAGCTAACAACTGTCTGTAATTCCAGTCCCAGCGGATCTGACAGGCTCTTCTGACCTCCATGGGTATTGCATGACACAGATGCACTTACCTACATGCAGGCAATACACGCATACACATAAAATAAAAATAATAAAAAGTTTTAAAAGAAGATAAGCAAGATTGATAAACTCTTCAGTCTAAGGAAGAAGAGTTAGATGAGTAAAACCAGAGATGCAAACATACCACACACAAATACTGTGGTGGTTTGAATAACAATGTTCCCCACAGGCAAGTATTTGAATACTTGGTCAGTTGGCAGCACTGTTTGAGGAGGGTCTTGGAACCTTTAAAAAGTATGACATTGCTGGAGGGAGGGCCCACTGGGGGTGGGCTTTGGGAGTTCATAGTCCTTACCCATTTGTGGTATCTTTCTCTGCCTCCTATGCCTGCCTGAAGATGTGAGCACTCTCTACTACAGCTGCCTCCCGCTGGGCTCCTCCCTCCGTGATGGACTCTTATCCCTCTGGAACCATAAGCCAAATAGACTAACTCTTCCTTCTATAGTTCCCTTGGTCAAAATGTAACTAATACTGTGATGAACATTTTGACCAAGGGAACTATAGAAGGAAGAGTGAGACTCATTACTTTGTATATTAATTTAGAAAAACAAAGCCAGCCCTGGTGGCCCATGTGTGTGATCCTGGCACTTCGGAGGCCAAGGCAGAAGAATTGCTATAAGTTTGAGGCCAGCCTGGGCTGCATAGTGAGCTCCAGACCATCCTGGGCTACAGAGTGAAACTGTCTCAAAACAACAACAACAATAATGGCATTGGCTTTTAAAGAAAAATTAAAAGCTCATGTCAATTTGAAGAGAGATGATTTGATGAATTTTAAAAGTTCATGTTAAGTTTTTTAAGTGATAATGGAATTGTGGTTCTTTTTAAAAACAAACATGGGCCAGTGAGATGCCTCAGCAGGTAAAGGCACTTGCCACACAAGCCTGGATATCTGAGTTTGATCCCCAGAACCTACATAACAGTGGAAGGAGAGAACTTACTCTATTAAGTTATACTCAGACTCCACATGTGTGCCGTGGCATGCTTACACCCCCTATCATACATACATACATACATACATACATACATACAGACAATGAATAAATTAAGTTTAAAAATAAATAAATAAATAAGGGGGCTGGAGAGATGGCTCGGGGGCTAAGAGTACTTGCTGCCCTTCCAGGGGATCCAGGTTTTGTTCCCAGCACTCACACGGTAGCTAACAACCCATCTGTAACTCCAGTTCCAGTGGATCTGATGCCCTCTTCTGGCCTTGGTGAGCATTGCACACCTGTGGTACACTTACATATATGCAGGGAAACATGCACACACATAAAAAATTAAATAAATAAAAGCAGATATGTATGTCCTGAAATATTTATGAATGAAATGGCATGATGTCTTATTTGCTTCATGAAACAAACTCCACAGCAGGGGTCTGTGAGGGCATCACTGGCACAAGGGTGACCTTCAGTCAGTCAATGTTGTGCCGGGTGTTAGATATTTTAAGTTCATTCTATTATATTCTTATGCACTTTTCCACAATAAAAAATAAAACAAAAGGATGCCATGGAGTGATCAAAATAATAATTTCCACCATAAGCCTAAGTCGGCAATTGCAAGGGCCAACATCCAAATTGCTGGTATTGATTGCAATCAGGATGCACATCACAGAGGGATCCACTCCTCCCTGAGCAGCACAGGCACGACAGCTGCAACACAACAGCAAATTACTTTCCCATCAGATACTAAGAAGGCTCATTGGCATCAAGGTACAGTCTGGATGAATTACACAAGGTCAACAGGAAAACTGAACAGAGCCTTAACATCATTAGGAAAGCCAAATGTAAATGTTGAGCCCAGGGATTGAGAAATGCTCGGAGGTTCATAAAGGACAGAAGCCCCAAAGGACAACATTGGGAATTTGAGTCCATAAAAATACTCAGATATAAGTAGAAATAATGCTAATATGAAAATGTAAGAAAGGGGGCAGGGAGGATGGCTCCATGGGTAAAGTGCCTACTGTGCACACATGAGGATCTGAGTTAGATCCCTTGCACCCATGGAAAAGTGAGATGTGAGGCTGGGTGTTGTGGCTCAATGGTAGAGTACTTGCCTAGCTAGCATGGGCAAGACTCTGAGTTTCATCCCCAGCACTGGAGTGAAAAATATAAAAAGACCAGGTGTGCCAACACACACCTGCAGTCCTAGTACTTAGCGGGTGGAGACAGGCAGATCTCTGGGGTTTGCTGGCCAGCTAGTCTAGCCAAATCAGCAAATTCCAGTTTCCGTGACAGACTCTGTCTCAAAAAACTAAAGTGGAGAGCCACCAAGGGAGACACTTAGCATCAGCTTCTGGCTTCCACACATGTGCATACCCCCTCACACATGTGCATTCATTCCTGCACACACACAAAATGTAAGAAATAAGTCACAAATTGGACTTAGTATGTTAAACATGCATGAGAAAAAAAAGACAATGTGTCTTAAAAATAGTCAAAAGATACAAACAGATGACTCCTAACAAGTATTTAGGGTCACTGCACTGTAAGAAGGCATGCAACCTCACTAAGGATCAAAAGAATAAATTCAAAACAATGACATAACACCCCCAGTTGGTCTATGAGAGACACTGTAAATGATAGCAATCAGAGTAAGGAGGACACCGTAGACAGGCATTCTCATGAGGGGACAGCATTTTTGGGAGGCCATTGGACAATGTCTTTAATGCTTTAAACATTCTAATTACATAGCAAGTTATACTGAAGAAATAATCAGAGATGCCCAGAATTTCAAGAATGCTTATGATTCAAAATAGAAAAAAAAATGTAGAGATGACTTAAATGTCCAAACAGAGACAAATGATCAGGAGAAATTATGATGCCTGATTCGGCCCTGGAAACACACACACACACACGTGTGTGTGTGTGTGTGTGTGTGTGTGTGTGTGTCTGTCTGTCTGTCTGTCTGTCTGTTGTGGTATATGTGCCCCATGTGTGGGTGGAGGACAGAGGAGGACTTTAGGTGCTTGCTCTCTCTCTCTCCAACTTACTCCCTTAAGACAGGGTCTCTCACCAAACCTTGAGCCAGACTGGTGGCCAACAAAGCCCCAAAGATCCTCCTGTCCACTTACCTAGCATTGGGGTTACAGGCATGTGGGGTCACGTCCAGCATTTTGAATGAGTTATTGGGATTTAAATTCAGGTTCTCAGGCTTAGTCAGCAAGAACTCTTACCTGCTAAGTCACCTCCCTAGCCCTAAAAATTCTTACAGCAAAAATGACTTCACAATATAGGTGTATGACTAGTGAGCTCACCACAAAATTAAAAGTATAAGTAATCTAAATGATGTACAAAGAATATATATGTTTGGTTAAGAAGTAACTGGAGGGGCTGGAAAGATGGCCTAATGGCTAGGAGGCCTGTTGTTCTTCCAGAGGACCCAGGTTTGGTTCCTGGCACCAACATTGGGCAGCTTACCACTGCCTGTAGCTCCAGCTCCATGGGATGTGATGCCCTCTTCTGGCCTCCATGAGCATTGTGAGCACATGGTGCACATACATATACTCAGGCACATGAATACATAACATAAATCCTTTTTTAAAGTAACAGGAAGGAATTATACCAAAATGATAAGAGGTACTGTCTAAGTGGTTATCATTTGGTGATGGACGTAGATGGGCCTACATTGTCTTTTTATTGTCCTGTTTCCAAAGTTAGTTCCTGTGGATTCCAGATCCAGAAAAGCAAACATCTGATTGTTATAATGCATGGCATGGGGGAGCCTCCTTCACCCTGTTCTTCCGCAATCATCTTCTAGGTCAGTTCAGTAGACCTCAAGCACGCAGAAAAAGGAAAGCGTTTTTTCTTTTTATTGAGGATAACAAAGTACACATGAAATGTTATTAAAGTACTACCACAGTGTCATATATACTAATTGTGGTGGTTGCTATTCTCTTAGGGGCTAATTAGCAGCAGCCTGAACCTCAACCAAAACAATCTGTATTGAGAGGTTAAGGGAGAGCACAAAACACTGACTTAGTAGAACTCAGATGTTTCTCCCTTATCTCTGATGGTTTTCTCCAGACAGAGGTGGCAAGTTCCCTAGCTGCTCTCCAGTAGATCAGAAAAGCCATTCTTCATCAGAACCAAGTTCCCTTAAAGTCCTCAGCAGAACAGGAGAGAAGTGACCCAGCTAGGACAGCATGCATACTTATCTTTTTCTGCTGTTGGTTGAAGTTGTCAATAATG